TTCTTGACAATTTTTATAAGTTTTCTACCAACCTTTGGTCCAATGTGCTGTAAATATTTGGCCGAATTAACTGCTAAATTTGATTTGTAGTGTTTTCAGCCCTACGGAAACTTTTCAATTTTTTTTTTTTTTTTTTCCTCTTGAGACAGTCTCAGTCTGTTGCCCAGGCTGGAGTGTGCAATGGTGCGATCTCAGTTCAGTGCAACCTCCGCTTCCCAGATTCAAGCCATTCTCCCGCCTCAGCCTCCCAAGTAGCTGAGATTACAGGCATGTGCCACGATGCCTAATTTTTGTAATTTTTGGTAGAGGCGGGGTTTCACCACGTTGGCCAGGCTGCTCTCGAACTCCTGACCTCAAGTGATCTGCCCACCTCAGCCTCCCAAAGTGCTGGGATGACAGGCACGACTCACTGCGCCCGGCCCTTTTTTATTTTTATCCAATTAAATTTATCTATCTTTTCCTCTATAACTTTGAGTTTCAGGTCATACCAGGGAAGCTCTTTGCTAGACAATAACTTGGAAAATTTTTTTATGTAACTTCTAAATCATTACTTAAATGATGTCAATAATACATACATACCAGCACCTGCAGAGACAGCTCTCTTCCAATATCAATATCAATTTTTTCTCTTTTTTGAGATAGAGTCTTACTCCGTCACCCAGGCTGGAGTGCAATGGTACGATCTTGGCTCACCGAAACCTCCGCCTCCTGGGCTCAAGTGATCCTTCCATCTCAGCCTCCCAAGTAGCTGGGACCACAGATGCCTGCCACCACACCTGGCTAAGTTTTTCTATTTTTGGTAGGGGCAGGGTTTCACCATGTTGCCCAGTCTGGTCTAGAACTTCTGAGCTCAAGCGATCAACCCACCTCAACCTCCCAAAGTTCAGGGATTACAGGTGTGAGCCACCGTGCCCGGCAATATAAATTACTTAACAAAAATAAGCCAACTACTCTTTCTCTAACACTTTCCTGTAATCAATTGATGGGCAAGCTCTGTGCCAATTAAATATTGCTTACAACTACTGTAACAAAGGTTTAAATTTTTCCCTTAAATTTCTTCTTAAAATCTAGAAGTTGAAAAACAGTAATTACCCATAGATTTAATTTCTGACAAGCCCCTCAATCCTGAAACTATCAACCGCATAAATGTAAAATAAAGTCCAACAACTAGATTTTCCCTGTTGTAATTTAGTCATCTCTACAAAAGTCAACGAATAATTTCTGTATAAACTTGTAATTCTGCAATACCAGAAAACTGCTTTATGGTGCTATCAACGAAGTATTCTGTTCTTTTCCATTTCAGGAAACTAAAACAAACAAAAGAGTTCCACCTCAAATCAAAATTATAAAATAAGCCTTTCAAGTTAGCGTATCAAGTCAAACCACCACTAGAAGCTAAATTAAATGGTTAATCTAGCCACCCTCTCTCTGTTCCCCATAAAGGGGGCTGGGGGAACCCTGATCATAAGTGTTCTATCTCACAGTGCCAGCTGCCAGGCATATAACAGCCTTCCATCTCTAAAGCTGACTGGCACAACAAGTAATACAACTTGGAAGTTAAGGCAAATGGCAGAACTCAGATGGGAAAAAAGAATATTTTCCACAATTTGTATAGCACTTGTTTAGCACGTATGTGTTTCTGAAGTGGTGGTCAACTCTTCAAACTACACGAGAAACATCACACCACTTCACGTCAACCACTGCCAGTTCCATTCAGTGGCCTCCTTCCCCTTTGGGGACTATTCAAAAAGTTACTATTTTCTTTTACAACTACTCACCCAGGCCTCTTCCACTGATGAAAGCAGGCAAAGCCCACGCTGTGTGTCTGTCTCCTAGAGAAGATTGCCTCTTTTATTTATCGCCCCTTGGCTTTATTTTCACAGTGAATTCCTGGCTTAAATGCAATCAGCCAAGAAACCCTCCCTATGTGCTCTCCTGTCATTCCTCATTGCTTGCAAGCAGAGTCAAGCACAGGGAGAGGAGGAAAAAAAAAAAAAAAAAAAAACCCTCAACATTGCCAGCCAAGCCATAAAAATTCGCAGACTCTAGTTTGTAATACTGAGAAGCCATAGATGTGCTTCCATCCATCTCCAACTGGCAGGAAACAGACAAACAAAAAAAAGGTATAACTTCAAAAAATGTTAATTAGATTTGTTTTAAGGGGAAAAAAGGATAGCTGAATAGCCTCAAAAGCTAAACCCTCTCTAGACAGAAGGAGAGAGTGCCCAACATAGAAAAGGCAACACTGGGGGCTGCCTTTGGAAATAAATGACCATGCAGAAAATCACGTTTACAGATTGCATTAGAATTCAAATTAACCAGACGGGATTAAAACAAATCTTAATTCTCTCTTGGGGCCCCTATCCAGACCCCCACCCCACTCCCAAAGAAAAGAATGATAAAAGGAACTGACTACAGAAAGAGAAAAAGGATTAAGTTAAAAATCAAAGAGATAGAGATGCGTCCAAATCTAACCCCATTCATTCCGTGCCGGGTTCAGTATGCTACAATTTCAAGTACACTAACAAGAGAAGGGGTCAGAAAATATGCCATTTGCAATCAGGAAAAAAAAAATAGGAAGTTTCACTATAGCATTCATTGTTCTTTTCAGTCTGGCTCAAACATTCCCATCGCTATGGCTGAAAAAGATCTGGACGGGGAAAAAGAATATTTTGGGGGAAGGGGGACAGGGGACGCTTTTAAACTAAGGTATTTGAGAAAACTCTCAGGATCTGTCAGAGAAAGGAGGGCTGTGCAGCTCTAAATCACAAGTCCTTCTCTCGCCTTTGTCAAATATCTTCTACTTTACAAGCCCTGAAAAGAAATAAAGAGACTCTTTTGTTTGGTTTCTCCTTTTCGGAGGGTGACAGAAAACTGAAAGGGGCACAAATAAACCTGAAAATGAGAACAAAGTGCTGGGTCGTGCCGGGCTGCCGCGCCGCGGGGACGCGGGAGCAGCAGCCTAGCCCAGTGTCTCGCGCTCCTGCAGCCCGCTCTCCCCTTTGGCTGCGAGCGGCAAATCCGCAACTGCTGACCGCGGCTTGCCCGGGGCACCACGACCTGACCACCCAGCGCAAACAAAACTCGGGCGGTGGGGTACAAGGGCTGCGCCGCGGCCCGCACAGTGGCGTCTGGAGGCAGCTCCACAAAAAAAGGGAAGCGCGAGCGGCTCCTCCTCGGGCTCGCGCCCTTTAATTAGGGGGCGTCCTCCGGCCGAGATGTCCCTCCGGAGACGAGTCCGGTCCGCCGCCACCTCCCCCCTGCGCCGCTTGGAGACTGAGGAGACGGAAAGAAAAAGACATTTAAAGCCGGGGCGGCCGGTGGAGCTCGCCCGGGCCAGACACCACAGCGACCCCGGGAGCGCAGCAGCCGCTCTCCCGTCGGAGCCCTGGGAGGAGCGGTCGCCGAGCGGCTTTAAATGTATTCCCCTCCCCTCAAATCGCGTGGGGCGGGGGCCAAAAAGAAAAAAGAGCGAGCGACAGGCAGTGAAAGGGGGGGAGCGCCGAGCGGCCGGGCCGCGGCCGGCATTGTCTGCGGCCCGCGCCCCCTCCCCCGCCCCGCACAGCCCCGCCACACACACCCTCGCGGGAGCCCGGCCGTCCGCCCGCGCCTTTGTCCACATCCACCCCCGAAACCGGCGAGCAGTCCTCCAGGATGTGCTCCCCGGAGAAGAGCGGGGAGGGGAGCACGGGCCGGGGGCGCGGAGCCCGCGGAGGGGCGCGTCCTGCTGATTCATTTCCCACTCGCGCTCGCCCGTCCGGGGCGACCGGGGGCAGGGAAGGGAGGGAGGAAATAGGCGCTCCGCTCAGGAGGACCGTCCGGGCCAGTGAGGACACCCGCAGGGGTGCGGGCGCGCGCGGAGCTGGGGGCTGTCCGCAGGAGAAAAGCGGGCGCCCCCCCCCCCCACCAAGGGACTGACAGACGGACAGACGGCCCCCGGCTGCCCCGTGACTCACCGACTTGCAGGACGTTGTCTACGCAGCCGCTCTCCAGCAGCGCGATGCCCCGGCGGAAGGGCAGCCGCGTCTCGTCGCCGCCGTCCGCCGCCCCGGCAGCCCCCACCGACGGGGCCCCGGCCCCCGCGGCGGCGGCGGCGGCGGCGGCGGCGGCGGCGGCGGCCGAGGTGGCGGCCGGGGAGGACGAGGAGCCGCCGCCGCCGCCGCCGCCGCCCGCGCCGCCGCCCGCGCCGCCGGGGCCGCCGCTGTCGTCGCCAGGGCCGCCCGCGGCGCCGCCGCCGGTGTTGAAGGAAGAGTACATGCAGATCTCCCGCTCGCTACGGGGGAAGGACCAATAGACTATGCGGCGCTGCACCGGCTCCGGGATGCGCTCGAAGCGCTCCTCCACGCGCTGGAACGGCCACTTCTCCGCCACCCTGCGCGCCGCGATGTCCAGCAGCGACTCGGGGCTCTGGGTCTTGCCCGGCGGCAGCAACCCCAGCGCCGCACCGCCCCCGCACGCCGCCGCCGCCGCGCCACCCGCCCGCGGGCCGGGCCGACAGGCAGAGCTGTAGCCGCCACCCGCGCCGCCGCCGCCGCTGCTGCCCCCGCCGCCGCCGCCGCCGCCCGGCCGGCAGCAAAGCCGTTTCGCGGGAGGAGGCTGCTGTCCGCGCTCCGCCATGACCGCGCCGCTTCTAACCCGACAGCGGAAGTGCCGGGACCCTATAAACGGCACTAGGAAGCGCGACACGCACACGCCGTCGCGACGCCACGCTGCCATCTAGGGCCCGCCGCTCCTTGTATGGGCACAAGAGGTGGGGCCTCCGCTGTGACGTAAGGCTGGGGCGGGGCTCCGATAGGGGGAACCTGGGGCCGGGGGCGGGGCCTATGCAAATCACTGGGCTGAAACATAAATAGAGTGCTTGGCGGACACGGGGGTGGCGGGGGTGGGCGGTTTGGGTGCCCGGTGGGTTGTGAGAATGTCAGGCTGCTGTGACGCGGGGGGGGGGGGGGGGGGGGGCGGGGCTCAGGCGGGGTTCCCGTGGGAGGGGGCGGGCCGCCGGGCCGGGGCTGAGGTAGATGGGTCTCTGCGCCCCCTGCCTACTCTACTTTCCCCCTCCAGTTCTCAGCCTCTCTTTGAAGTCCGAGAAGTGAGGATGCGCCTCGTGGGTCGCCGCGGGGAGGAAAGGGGAGATGGGGGAGGTGAGTGAAGGGGAGGGTTCATCTAAATAGAGGGCGGGGCCCACGGGCCGATGCCCCACCCCCCGTCAGCCTGCCCTTCGGGGGAAAAGCCTCTGGGCGGAGGAGGCGCTTTCAAAACAAAGAAATGCGGCATGGAGCCCGGGGGACGCGGGTGGAGAGGAAGGCGGAGGAGGCGCGGCCGAACCCGACCGGCTGCCAGCTTCCCCTCCAGCCGGTCCAGGGGAGCTCTCCCCACCACCCGCCGAAGCTGCGGCGGGGAAGGGGGAGGGTGGCTGCGTTCGGCGGCAGCTTTCCACTTGACTTTTGCAGACCCGGTGTGGAAGGAGCGCGCCCGCTCCGCTGCCCCGCTTGGCTGCAGTGCGCCCATCCCCGAGCCCCGCGTCCGTTCCGTCCCGACTGCAGGGCTGTGCCCGAAAACACGCTGAGCGCTCGGAACGTGCCCAGCAGTCGCGCGACGCGCGTCCGGAGCCGGCTGCCACCGTCCCGCCCTCGCTGCCTCCGTCCCTCGGTCCAGGAAGCCCGCTAGGAGTCGGGGAGCTCCGGCCGCCCTTGTCGCCCCCGCCGCCCTTGTCGCCTTCGCGGCCGCGCGGACGAAGCCCTGCTCCAGGCCGGGGTTTCTCCCGCTTGGGGTGGAATGCAGCCCGGGCTGTGGGTTTAGCAGACACACCTTTGTGAGTACACACGCCGCAGGGGCGCGCGCAAGCCCCACGGGCGCGCGCGCACACCGCCCAGCCCGCGGCAGACGGCCCGCCAGGCGGCGGACGGCGGCTTCGGGCGCACTTGGGTCTGCGGCCCGGCTCCCACCTCGGCGCCCGGCTGCGCGGAGTGCAGGCGCTCAGGACGCGCGCAGCGCTCTCAGCCGCCTTGGCGGCGCCCGCAGGGCTAGTCTCCCAGGGTCCGGGCAGCTTAGGGGTGGACCAGGGAGAGCGAGCGCAGAGCGCGGCTCGCCGGTACCTGGACGCGGGCGAAGGCGAAGAAGCGAGTCCCTCTCTGAACTGGGAGCCCTGCGGACATTGTTCGTGCTCCATAGAGCTCGGTCAAATCTGCGTCCAAGCCGCAGACTTAATTACCGCGTCGGAGACACGCTTCCTCCCAGCCCCACCTTCTGTTTTTACTGTAAACAGTGGTGCTGATCCGCTCCCATTGTTGGAGATAAACTGTATCTCCTTTGACACTTTCGCATCTTTTAAGGTTATTGGCTGCTCCCCACCCGCCTGCCTGGTAGCCTGGATTTAAAGGGATAGCGCGCTTCGGCGTTTTAAAGAAAATAGCTCATTCCGGGCCGAAGCCCTGGAAACCTCGAACTACACCGCTGGCCTTCACAAGTCCCAGGCTGCAGGTCCCTGGGGTCGGGACGCTGGCCGACTTTCCGCAGCTGCCTTACTTGTTAGGAAAATTTTTGTGACACTATGTTTTTGTATATCCGTCCAGTATTTTTCTGGGCACCTCCTCCATGTCTAGGAAAAAGCCTTTGCGGAAAACTGGAAGATCTTTATGGGCAAGTAGAGGGGAAAGTCTCTTTCAGGGCTTTCATTTCTAGATCTCTTTAAAAATAAAAATAATCTTTAAATTGTATAAAACATAGGTATAGAAGACAGTAAGTTTAAAAGTAAAACACAAGTTGCGTTCTGTTCTGTCCAGAAACAGTCATGATAGGACTTAGGCTTGTATAATATGTAGTAGCAAGCATTTTCATACATAAACACACAGAATCACTGAACTGGAAAGTCAGCGATGACAAAACTGGTGCCCCCCGACAGGATAAATGACTCATTCAGGTTCATAGGGCTTGTTAGTAGAAAAGATTAATTCACATTGAACGGGAAAACAGCTACCTTTGGAGGTGCCTAACTTTTACAGCTTTCGTTATTATAATGAGCAAGAGACTGGATTTAAGGCACCGTCATTTGCCGGAGGGATCTATTATACTTTAGCTCTCTAATTCAGAGACAAATGAGGGGCCACCAGCTCAGCCTGACCCAGCTGGCCTTCCCTGCATTCTCTGACACTGATTACCGACTCCCTCTTGAACTGGCCCTCTCTCTGAGTTTCCTGGAGTTCTGCCATCGCTCCAGTGTCTCCAACTCCTCTTTTCCCTACCTCTTTTTTGTATATCTTCCTTCAACCCGTTTAATGTATACCCTGTCCTGCAGCCTTTCACAGTCCTCTTCATTTTGGATGATCCACCACATGGAGAGTTTCCACCACCCACCCTACAACCGTTTCCCAAAGTATCATCTCCCTCTCCAGCTCACATATTTCTTCCCAGTGGCCATCTCACTTTTCCATCACCACCAGGATGCCCATGGCCACCTCAAACCCAAAGAACCACCTTTCCCTAGAAGCCAGGTTCTCTTCTTTTATTTTTGATACTGTTGCCACCTGTTCCCAGGGCCCCAAGCTCTTTTCCTCTGCCTTTGCCTCTTGCCTGCAACTCCCACAGTTGACTTGTATTGTCTATCCCAGCCCCTCTGGCTGCTCACAGTCAATTATTCCTCCTTTTCACTCTGCAGGAGCCTCCTCCCTGGTGTGTCTGTACAGCCTTTCCTCCTCCAAATCATCCTCCACCCAGCTGCTGTGCTTCCGAAAGTACATTTCGGATTGTATCACCCTCCTGCTCAAGTCCCTTTAAATGGCTCTCTGCTGCCTACTGGAAGAAATCCAAACTCAGATCTGATCTTGACCAAACCCAACTTTTCAGCCTTGCCTCCCACAAAAAACCCAACAGAACATTTCCCAGTTCCCCAGCAGGAATTCTGTTATGTCCCAACAGGACTTCTCCACCCCACACATTTGCTCAAGATGTTCCTGCTGCCTGAAATGTCTCTCCCTTCCCTTGCAACTTGTCAAATTCCTACCCTTCCTACAAGGATTTGCTCAAATGCCACTTCCTCTGGGAAAACCCACCTGGATGTGTGATCTCTCTCCTCAAGCCCCTTTAAGGAGAACTTTGGATCATTCTTGTGACATTTATACCATTCTGCCTAGCATCAGAGTTATGTTTACACTTGCCTGAGCCATTGTCCTCTCTCTCTCTCTCCCCCCCCCTTCTCTGGTTAGAAATTATCTGACAGTTGGGTGTATGCCTTGTCCATTTCTGTAGTCCCTGAATGCCCAGCACTGTCCTGCAAGGTTTCTGTCTCCCCAGAGGTTAGCTACACCCAGGAGCCACGGGAGAAGTAAGTGATGGTATGTCATCTTTGGCTAGTGCTTCTGCCATCTCTCATTTTTTGAGTAATTATAGTGTTTTTCCTGGTGTTCATAGAAATCATTACTAAATTACTTATGATTGCCCTTTTCCAGCAGGCTTCTACCCCAGGGACCAAATCAGGGATAGAGCCACCTCCAGTGTTTACCATTAGGCAATAGTAGGAAATCAAAGTACAGAAAGTCTACTGCTTCCCATATGCAGTGACTCATATCACATCACACCACACCACCAGTGTGGTCAGGAGCTAGGCTCCCTGGCCCACTTCATAAATAGTACTCCCAGTAGCTAAACTGATGATCTCAAGGAAGTGAGAAAACCCCACCCAATGCCCACCTGAGCACCACATGTAGCACCCAACCAATTGCAGTCAGATGCACAGATAGGTTGATGGACAGATGAATGGCAAAGGAATTTATTTGGGAAGGGCAGTGGAGTCCTAGCCAGAGATATATCATGGCTCCTCCACCCTCCTTTAACTTAAAAATGAAATTTTGGAATTAAATTCAGTAGTGGTTTACCAAATTCCTGGAGCAGTGGTTTTCAGAGAGAGACCCCTAGAGTGCCCCAGGGCAAAATGCACACAACTCTGGAGCTGGGAAACTAACATTAACACATGTAGCAGCTCCCCACATGAGTCGTCTTTGCACTAAAGTTTGAAAACTACCCTTTGGTGACAAGAACTTCACACGGCCCCAGCACTTAGGAGACCTGCAGAAGGAGAAAATGGCATTGCCTCATCATTATTGCTAGTCATCTCAGCTAATTAAGATAATAATTTGCCATTAGTAGGAAGATTCCAAGACATGGAAATTAAATTAGATCTAAGGAATTTCAAGTCATTTGAAGATGGACACAAAGTTATATTCATTTCCATTCTCTTTTTCATACTGGGGATATATTTTTAATACTATGGTCAAAGCCAATTATGTTCCCTGGAATATAATTTGTTTAGAGGAGAATAAAAGGCTAAAACAGCATAGTTAACCTGTGAACCAGGCATTCTCCCTTCCTGTGCACTGAGAGAGCATCTCACTCTGTATGGCTAAAAAGAGTGAAGAATGAGGGAGAGTAGATGATACTTCATCCGTGAAAAATGTCCAGTAACACGGGAAAGTGCCCAAAGAGTCAACCTGGTCAGTCATTTCCATGGAATCGATTCTTGTGCAAAGGAAGAGGTAAGCAGGGAATGATAAACCAGAACTGAAAAATTTAAAACAGTTGCTCCAACTTTGAAGAGGGTTCATTTTAACTTTGTTGAATCCTTGAGAAGCCACTAATAAATAAATAAATATATATATTTACCATATATAAACCATATATATATGGTTTATTATTTATTATATATATATATATTATATATATATTATATATATATAATAAACCATATATATATATGGTTTTCTTTTTTTTTGAGATAGGGTCTCGCTGTGTCACCCAGGCTAGAGTGCAGCGGCGTAATCTCAGCTCACTGCAAGCTCCACCTCCTGGGTTCACGCCATTCTCCTGCCTCAGCCTCCCGAATAGCTGGGACTACAGGCACCTGCGCCATGCCCGGGTAATTTTTTGTATTTTTAGTAGAGACAGGGTTTCACCATGTTAGCCAGGATGGTCTCGATCTCCTGACCTCAGGTGATCTGCCCACCTCGGCCTCCCAAAGTGCTGGGATTACAGGTGTGAGCCACAGTGCCCAGCCAAGCCACTAATATCTTACTATTAATATTTTTGTACAGTGGGCACAGACACTGTACTAGGTCCTTTACAAACAGTAACTCATTTAATGCCCCTTACACAAGAAACAAAAGAAGAAACTGAGACTCAGAGAAATTTGCCAAAGGTTATTTGGCTCCTATCTGGCTATGCAGGGATTCAAATTCTGTCTCACTCCAAAGCCAGAATTTTTTTCCATTATCCAGTATTTCCCAAACTTGTCAGGTCATAAGAATCACCCCGAGCACTTGTTAAAAATATACATTTCCTTTACCTCTCCACTGGAGATTCTGATTCAGCAGGGCTGGGGTGGAGCTTGAAATCTATCTTTTTAACCCATGCCCTGGATAATTCTTCAGAATAGGCAAAATTGGGAAACATCATATTCCACACCACATTGTCACTCAGTAACCCACACTATTTCATTCCTTAAGATGTCCCCTTCTAAAATGTGCTGAATTAAAAGAAAGTATATTCAACCACTGATCAATCAACCAATCTTTTCCAACCTGCTTCCAAGAACAGTGTATTGTGTCTAGATGGAAGCCTTTAAAATTAAAGCTGGAATTTTGAAAAATAAATTATTGCATCTCAATATATACCAAAAAACCAGGCTGGCAAATTGCTTACAAATGAATTTGTTTTAAATGTGATTTGGGCAATAATTCTACCTCAAGAAGTAAAAGAGATTTGCGTTCATTAAATATTAAATAATTTGCATATGTTAATTTTCAGAAAAGAAAAACATTTTAGCATATAGTCTGTATACCATTTAAATATTATTAAAAGTGACTAGGCTATTATTATTCTGTTAATTATTCCAATGCAAAGTGCAATGGTGAGGATCTTATTAAATGAAAACATCTTAAAACTGGAATGTTTATCAGGCTTCAAAACAGGCTTAGAATCCAGTAATCACCAAAAGAAATAGGAAACACCATATTTCCTTATAACCTTAATATTTCCCCTTTTAAATAACTAACTTTTCATGAACTATTTTGTTAAGATTGTCACAAGATAAAATAATGCTATTTAATAGGATAATGTAAAGACGTTTACTTCAGTATTTATTTACCTGTGTTAACTAGGAAAAAACTCCCTCTTATAAACACTAAAAAAGTGTTAGTATAGAAGAATCATAATTTAAAAATTAATGATTTTCTCAAAATTGCCTCACCCTACCTGATCACTGTCTTGCAGATATCTCTGATAATGTGAGATGGTACAAGTAAAACAGGTTTAAGACATATTCTTTAGGGAGACAAAAGATGCTCTGACATGTATGAAGGATGTATTTACAGAAAGTAATGTCATTCCAAAATTCACTTTGTAAGCATATAGAATGATCATTTTTCAAAGTGATCAAATATTATTTTGTTCGTTCTCATTCCTATTTGGAGGAAGTAAAGATGTAAAATCTAGACAGCCAGGTAACTTTAGGGGGCACCTTATGCCTAGATAAAGATTATTTGCATTTAAGTTACATGAAAATTAAAATTTAAAACATGAAAGCCAAATTCTGAAACAAATTTATTAACAGCATTTTATCACCTACAGTATTTTTAAATATTCAAGAATTCACTCCCCATCAAGAATAGCATCATGACAATTCAGATGTGAAGTGTCACTTCCAATGACTTTGTTCAAATCCAGAATTAGATGACTTGTGAAAATGAAGAGGTTTCAGTAAAAGCCGGTGTATCAGACATTTTTCAATGTGAAATCTGTATTAACTCACACCCCCACAGAATCACATTGCAGTAAAACCATGGTTATGCAGAACTTTTGCAAAAAACACCCAGAATGGACAGGTTTCCCAAAGAGCTGAAGTTGTACTTTTTAAGGACCAAAAATCTTTTTTTTTTTTTAAACATAGTTTTGTTCTTGTTGCCCAGGCTGGAGTACAATGGAGCGATCTTGGCTCACCACAACCTCCGCCTCTGGGGTCCAAGTAATTCCTCTGCCTCAGCCTCCCAGGTATCTGGGATTACAGGCATGCGCCACCATTCCCGGCTAATTTTGTGTTTTTAATAGAGATGGGGTTTCTTCCATGTTGGTCAGGCTGGTCTTGAACTCCCGACCTCAGGTGATCCGCCTGCCTTGGCCTCCCAAAGTGTTGGGATTACAGGCGTGAGCCACTGTGCCTGGCCCAAAAATCTTTTTAAAGCTTGACGGGGCCGTGTGTGGTGGCTCACACGTGTAATCCCAGCCCTCTGGAAGGCCGAGGCGGGCAGATTACTTGAGGCCTGGAGTTTGAGACCAGCCTAGCCAACATGGCAAAACCCTGTCTCTACTAAAAATACAAAAAATTAGCTGGGCTCGGTGGCAAGCACCTGTAATCCCAGCTACGCCGGAGGCTGAGGCACAAGAACCGCTTGAACCTGGGAAGCAGAAGTTGCAGTGAGCTGAGATCACACCACTGCACTCCATTCTGGGTGACTGAGTGAGACTCTGTCTCAAAATAGAATAAAAATAAAAGCTTAACTTTGCACGCTAGAAATCTTTCTAAAAATGACACACTTCTTTGACTTCTTAAGCATATTATAAGGACTGATTATAAGCACAATGATGCCCTTAAGAGCTACTAAGGTACGCAAGGTTGCTTGTTCATAACAACAACAACAACAACAACAAACCAGATTGCTGGCTTGATTTTTCTTCTCTTTTTCTCTTTATTTCTTTTGCCGTTCCCTTCCCTCCCCACTTCACTCCCCTCCCCTTCTTTCCCTTCCCTTCTTTCTCTTCCCTTCTTTTCCCTCCATTTTTTATTTAGTTTGTTCTAGGTTTTGTTTTGGTTTGTTGGTGTCAGACTTTACAGTTGTGCTATTTCCTGTTACTTTCACTTTTTTGTTGTTTTTTTAGAGTCAAGATCTTACTGTATTGCCGAGGCTGGACTCAAACTCCTGGGCTCAAGTGATTCTCCTGCCTCAGGAGTAGCTAAGACTACATGCATGTACCTCCATGCCCAGCCCCTGTTACTCTTAATTATTGTCATATAACCACCCATAATGTCCCTTCTCCCTTTCTGAATTATTGCTCTCCCCATGCTGTGGCCTCTGAATCCGGAGAACCTGCTTTCTACAATTATGTGTAAAGTAAAATCAACAAAGTTCTTAATGAGGATCTCCCACCTGGTTAAAATGTGCATGATCTTTGTCACATTTATTTTGCCTCCTACAGACTTCTTAGATTCCAGCCAGGTCCCAGAAAATGGTGAGGTTATTAGATGACCAAACTCTGGCTTCTGAGGGGTTAATATAGGATGATAATTGACATTCATGATGATGAGTCCAAGATGCCTACTGAATCATCATGTGTAAAATGATATTTACTGAACATGATTTAGGTTTAAAGCATTTCACGAAATTATAACCTTTGGAACTTGGTGGTTCACTTCTGAAATCTATGGCCATGTTTTGACAGATTTCAGATGAAACAAAATCTGCATTCCCAGGTCACACACAGGGACTGTATGCCATGCACTCCTGTGACAGCTTGAGTTCACCCTTGAGAGGGGAGGGTTAGAAACCAAATCCTTAACAAGCCTGTCCTGCAAGACTCAAGACTGTGCATTAGGAATGACCTGGTCCCTGCCCACCTGTCCAAATGGCCTTACCTTTTGGTTCATTCCCTTTGCTCTCTGGGGCTCTGCCAACACAGGCTACTCAGGCCTACTTTCCATTCCTTGAACAATCACTTCCTCCAGAGGCCTTTGCCCAAGAGTTCCTGCTCGCTGGAATGTTCTCCTTCCCCAGGCCCCACAACCACTGCCTGGTTTCCTCCTGCTCAGCTTAATCACACTTCCTTAGGAAAGCCTAGCTGCCCTGACAGGTCAGTTCTGCCTATTACACACTCTAGTAGTTACATGTACTTCTCCTAGGAACTAATATCTGAGTTGTAATTTTTCATTTAGTTGTATGTAGGACACATTACCTGGAGAATAGTAGGTGCTCAATAAATATTTGTTCACTGAATGGAAGGGAGTGAGCAAGGGCACTTCCGCCAGACTGACCTCCTCATTGTGGTTAACATCAAGGTGTGCCGGGAGAGCAATTTCCAACAGCTTAACATTCACTTGATTGCTGCCAAGGCCCATGGGTCTTTCCTTTCCTTTCTAGAAAAGAGTAAAATCTACTCGATGAACATTCAGCAGCATGGTGTGAAGAAATTACTGCCACATTCTGGACATCATTGCATTCTTCCAAGCAAAGAAATAAGAGAATCTTCCCAAACAAATGTCAGAAACTTTACCACACTGTCATACATGCTGCCTGTAACATTTGTCTTTTGTTATTTTTTTTTTTTCTGGTTTTCATCTCAAGTGTCTCTCAAGTTTTGGCAATTTCAAGTCTTCTAGTTTCCATGGAAATAGGAAACAGTGATCTTGGAGATTAAGAGCAGGGAGATATCCACTCTAATGGGGTTCTAGAGTTTTCTTCCTTTGATAGTATTTTTGAATGTTGGTTTGGAGGCAGGCAACAAATGTTTATTTTTGTGCCTATAATGCATCAGGCATTGTTCTCTTCCAGGAATGCCTCCACCTCCAAACTGCTACATTAAAGATAAATATGCTCTTCCAGATGTGGGCTCTCAGGTTTATCCTTAAGTGAAATTCAAATTGTTGAGCAGAAACTATTAGCTCTGTAGTGAGAATCTTTACCTTTTCCCTCTAGGGAAGGTAACTTCCCTCAAGCACTTCAGATATTTTATAGAGCTCTTCATGACACTCGGGTTACAAAGAACCATGGTATATCCATTGTTAATTTTATTTTTTTATTTTCTATTTCACGAGGAAATAAAAATCTCTTGACTTCCACAGCAAGAAATAAACATGTAATGTTGCTTTTTTTGTTGTTCTATAATCTTCATACTTGATAGTTGCTCATATCCACAGAAAACTTGACCAGACATACCTGAAAAACTTGAAAAATCTGAAAAAGGAAAAAAATAGTTTACTTGTCTCCTTAATAGGCAAATGTCTACGATTTTACATCCTCTCAGAATAACCTCTCAGAATAGTTTCTTTGAGACTTTGAACCTAGAACCTGTGTGCATGTATATGACCATGTAAGACTCAGCTTTTAACCTGTTATGTAATCTGTATTGTAATATACTACATCTCATGCCACCAGAAAGTTTGCAACTTCCCTGAAGGACAGATATGGAAGATTATAAAACCAGCTCCTAGTTTGTCTCTGTGTGGAAGTTCAGCCTCCTGGCCTCTCCCACACTTCTTCAGGATCTGTCCTCCTGCTGAGCACCCACCTGATGGATTTCTCCCCACTGCAACCCACCCTCCTCTCCAGGACCACTCTTTCTTGCCTGTAATTCTGGCCTTAGGAATGCCCAGAGGAGATCTATACCCAAAAAGTATATTTGAACAAGACCAAGTCTCCAGAATAAAGATAATCCCAATTTACAATTCAGCCATTAGAGATTTAATTCTTTTGCACCTTCCTGAGCCCCTTTTTAAAAAGTATGAATATCCTTTTAGGGGTTAAGATTTCAAGTCATTACCAGTTTATGCTCCCAAGGGATTGCTTAAGCTATATGCCAACCTCCAGTGGAAAATTAAATTCAGGACAAGCCTTGAAGGGTGATGCTAGGAGGAAAAGGGACACTGGGGGTTGGGGAGGACCAAATGAACTTCACGAAGGAGAGTCCATGAATTGAAGAGTCCCACCACAGACCATCCCCCGCCCCAGCTCCAACACTGGCTTTGAATAACTAAAGTCAGTTTCACTGAAATGGTGGCAGATCAGAGTAGGGCCCTAGACTCAAGCCCTAGCATCCATATCCAGGTTCTGTTTTTACAGGTCTGACACAAGATTTCACACTCTTCAATTCATGGGCTCTCTTTAACATTCCCCTTTTTCATTTTCCCCCTTGTTCCTCCTTTGCTCCTCTGGCCTAAGTTTATCTGTGTACTTGCTTGTATGTACACGTTTTATCTGCATGTGTGAATGTCTGTGTCTCTATGCCCAGGTCTTTCTTTGTCCTGACACCAGCTTGTCTGGAAGTGGTAATCATAAAAAATTAATTCAGATTACTTGTTAGATGATTTAGATATTTTCAGTTTCATTAACAGCTAATCATGGCACAATGGATTACTCAACCAGGGTTTGAAATATGCCTTCAAGGTGGCTAGACTAACTGGAATGATCATGTAAGGGGACTTCGGCAGGGTATCATACACACACAGCGATTATGTCTTTTGTGGGAACATGCATTTGCCTACGAACTGTCTGTGCATGTTTTTGGCAGGTCCCCCTTCTTACTCTCCATTCCGTTCCCCTCCCTAGGTTCTGCCAGATCTGCCTTCAGATTCCTCAGTCATGAAGCCTCCCAGAGAGGGGTGAGAGCTCTTTTAGGTCTAACTACACCCTGTGAGGAGTGTCCCAATATGCCCGTGGGTGAGGCAGGCAGGCCAACTGCACCCCAACAGGGTTCAGCACGAGGCTGGGAGGTGAAAGATGTGTAGCCAGAAGTCTTGGAAAGGCGCCACTGGGGACATAGCCAGGTATCTTGCCGCCCTCAGAAAAATGCTCCTGTTACCTGCAAAACAAATTAGCGTCAGTGACAGAAGTGCGACCCTGGGGCCGAAGTTGTATGTGACCTCTTCCTCCAACCACCGAAAATATTCTGGTGGGTATGGGGGTCTGGTTGGTATGGGAGAGTATGAGCACACTTGCCCGCTGCCACCCCACCATAGACAACCATCCACCCCCGCCCCACCCCAAGCTCCAACACTGGCTTTAACTAACAAAAGTCAGTTTCGCTGAAATTGACAGCAGATAGGAGTAGGGCCCTAGACTCAAGCACTTGCAGCCAAATCCAGGTTCTGTTTTTGCAAGTCTGACACAAACCACTAACTCCTCTGGCCTCACAAAGTGCTCTGTGGGTAGGAGTAGCCCTGCTTGCCCTTGACAGGGACCACTTTCAAGGACCGGTTGGATTTGTCAGGGGTTTTCTCTTAACGTTTGTCAATGACCATTGTCAGGTGTTGCTAGGGCTGCAGGAGAAAGGTTTCACTTGATTGGCTAAGCGACCGTATTCCTTAACCAATCCAAACGCTCTGCCTGGGGGAGGGGACTTAACAAGATAGAACAATATCAAGCACAGGCAGACGCATTCCGTGTACTAATAAGGCGTCTGGAAAAATGGAATTACAGTGTGCAGGAATCCCATGCCCCTCTGCAGCTCCAGCCATGGCGTGGTTGCTGTTAAAAATGTTACAGTGTAAGTTAAAGTCATTCCCATTGATTGGAGGACATCAAGATTTCAAAACAGGGAGTAGCAATTGGAAGGAGGAAGTAAAACTCCTTGCTCATTGTGTTTTACAGCCTTCCTTAGTAAAACTGCTGAATTGTAATTTAAAATATTCCACCCTTTCAAATAAATTAAGTGCAGCCCTTAAAAAACAGGAAATGAGAGAGGCGCACACGTATTGTCGACTAAACATTCACAGACCTTGTACCACAAAGCAAAGTTGAAAATCAGAGAACAATCCTATGAATTCATTTTAGAGTGATGCCAACAAAGGTCCTCACCAAGGGAGGTGTTATGCCTCTGGCAGTGCACTCTTGGGCTGAAACCTGAATGCTAATTAGGAAACAAATGAAAGACAAATATCAGCTTGAAGGGAAATTTGGATCTTGCAAGATCATAGATATTCAGAGATTCAGATAAACCTTATGGTACTAAGAGCTATGGTAGCAATGGCTGAACCCTCCCTTCAGAAAATCTAACGGCAAGTAACCCAGATGTTTCTACTGAACTCTGGTAAATCAAAGAAAAGCATCCCCCTATAATTCATTTCCTCTATCGAACCCTTCTGCCCATGAGGACCCCATAGTCCAGCTAAAGAGCTTGAGCTTAGTTTCAGGCTGAAATGGTTTTGGGAGGGTTCTGCATTTTACTTTATATACATTTTGAAGTAAATGAGAGAAAAGGATAAAATATTTTGAGACTGAATTCTGAATAGTTCCCTCTCCCACCTCTATTGGTATAAAAGACAATATTCATGAGCAGAAAATGATGTTTGAGGAGGGCTGGCAACAGGACTTCCCTAACAGTTGCACAGAAAGTAGAGCTTCACAGTCCTCCCCCACCACATTCGGGTACCCGCTTAATGCTGCCCACACTGCAGGCCATTGGAGTCCACCTCAATTAGACTTTGCCCTGGATCTCCAGTACCTTAGTGGAAACACCATAATAGCAGGAATTATTATTCCAAGGGGGAAGAAACTTGAAGAGTTTGGTTAATTCTTTGGTTGCATGTGATGCTGAATACAGATATTTGTGCTGTTGGCAACATCTTAGGAAGTGATTTAACCCACTTGCATAGCCAGACATAATTTGTCATGTGGCCCTGTGATTTTAACCCCATTCATTTCTCTCTTATGATTGCTTCCATCAGGTTTGTGTGTTAATTCCTTAGGACACATCTTTATTTCAGAGGTCTCGAAGTCCTGCTTGACATTTCTAACTTAAAACCTAGACTTCTCCATTCCTGAACTTACCTGCTCTCTTCAGGAACAGATCCAGGAGGCCACAAAACTAACCACCCACCTCTAATCTTCCTACTCAAGCAGTTGGACCTGGGCTGGTGTGTTACGAAACTCACCATTATGCTAGATCCCTTCCCAGCCTGGCAGGCACACCCACACAGCCACCAGTGAGTATTCCCTAGGGTTAGAACAGTCCAGGGCTTTGTGAATTGGTACTCTCTTCATATCTTATATTTCAACATAACTTCCAATGAGAATCATACAGTTAGTTTTGGTTTATAAAAGTCTACTAAATCAACAAAAAACAAAAACTTGGCCACTAATTTCAATCTGCAATCAAACAGCAGTTCATTCATTTAAGTTCCATCCCTTTCTTTTCCTAAATCAGTCTCTAATAAAGGGGGGGGGATTTTTAATGATAAAAAGTAGAAAACTGAAGAAGCAAAAGTCCCAAGATACCCCACAAATAAAGAAGCAGTTGCAGACCATTAATGATCACTAGGAGGAGACGGAATCACAGAAAGAGGTACTCAAGGGAGTTTGAAAGTTTGAAAGACCACATTTAGCCTGAACCCTCAAGAAAGTGTCTAAGAGAAAGTAGGCCAAAACAACAATGAAGTTAGGGTGAAAAAGATGTGAGTTTAGTTTTCAAAATGTCATGTCTGTATTGAGTGTCCTTTTTGTTCGAACAAGAAACAAAGAGAGAAATCAAACAGCTTCACTGACAAGCAGAGCAGCTGGCAAAGAGACCAGGGTAAAATCTTGGGAAACCCTTTAATGCGTAGCCTAAAAACAACTCTAAAGAATCGCTATATCCCTTCAGTAGATCTCTGTTTTCCCAAGTCCTGTTTTCTTCATTTTGCCCCATGTCATAACTGACACCTGGGTCTCTCTGTGGATTTCTTTCTTTGAATGTTTTTAAAGCTTCTGGGGAGTCTATTTTTTATTCATTCATGCCATATATTAAACTATTTAAAATATAATCTCCCAATAACATATGCTTATTAAAATAATACATTTATCCTGCTCATAAGCATAAAGGCTGACTTGATTCCAGAACAAGGCCATGACCGGGTAGTTTTGCCTGTGGTGACTCCTTCCAGCCATCAAAACAGAAAGCTTCTTATTATAAAACAAAGTGAAAAGGGAGGTCTAGAGTTGGATTCATTCTCTGGGGCTCTTGAGAGTGTAAACAGTTCACAAGGTTTTCCTCAGTTGTTCCCAGTATGTACGGACATGGATGTTTCTTTAGGCAAACACTTCTATTACAGTGACCACAGTGAAGCTTTGGATTATCTTGAGCTTACAACACATTTTGTGAACACCATTTATTAAGATCAATGTGCTTTGTTTAGGCCACCGAGAGCCATAACCACAAAAAAATTGATAAATTAGATTTAAACAAAATTAAAAACCTGTCATGAAAAGAGACCATTAAAAAACAAATAGTCAAGATATAGACTGGAAGAAATTATTTACAAAACATAAACTTGACAGAGGACTGATATCCAGGGTATATAAAGGACTCCCACTTATTAATAAAGAGAAAACTTTTTTGAATGGATGAAAGACACTTTACCAAAGAAGATATATAAATGGCAGATAAGCCCATGACAACGTGCTCAATATCTTTAGTCACTGGGAAAATGCAAATTAAAACCTGAATGAAGTATCACTACCTCCAGGATGGTTTAAAATATAAAGAATGAAAACACTAAATGTCAGCAAGGATGTGGAGCAACTGGAACTCCTATACATTGTTGATATGAATATAAAATGGCACATCAACTTTAGAAAAAGAAATAGCATTTTCTTCAAAAACTAGATATATACTAGCTGTGATCCTGCAATTACATAAGTAGGTCTTTTCCTAAGGGAAATGAAAACATATGTTCATCAAAATACTTGTATAAGAGTGCTCATAGCAGCTCTATTAGTAATAGTCAAAAACTGAATACAGCCCAGGTATCCATCAAGAAGAGAATGAATGCGCAGGGGCCCAGCACGGTGGCTCACCCCTGTAATCCCAACACTTTGGGAGGCCAATGCAGGCAGATCACTTGGATCATTTGAAGTCAGGAGTTCAAGACCAGCCTGGCCAACCAGGTGAAAACCCTGTCTCTACTAAAAATGCAAAAAATAACCAAGTGTGTTGGTGGGTGCCCGTAATCCCAGCTACTCAAGAGGCTGAGGCAAGAGAATCGCTTGAACCCACTTGCAGTGAACTGAGATCACACCATTGCACTCCAGCCTGGACAACAGAGTGAAGCTCCATCTAAAAAAACAAAACAAAACAAACAAACAAACAAAAAAAAAACAAAAAGGAGAGAGAGAATAAATGTGCAAACTGTGGTTTAGTCATACAATGGAATACTACTCAGCAATACAAAAGAATGGGCTACCACTGTTCACACAATAACATGAACAAATCTCAAAAAATTATGCTGAGTGAAAGAAGCCTCACACAAAGAATTCAACCTATTTGACCCTTTCACATGAAATTATAGAATAGACAAAGCTAATCTGTGGTGAAAAAAATCAAAACAGTGGTTGCCTCTGGGTTTGGGAAAGGGATTAGGAACAAAGATTGACAGGAAAGATAAATGAGGGATCTTCCCAGGTGAAGACAATATTTTATATCTCAGTAAGGGTTTGGGCATACAGGGATATATTTGTCAAAACTCTGAAACTGGACACTTAGTGTTAACATTTTAAAATCTGTAAATTTCATACCAAATGAAAAAAGTAAATACCAAACTGAAGTTTTAAAGTAGATATTGGTGGATGCCTACAATTTACTTTTAAACACATGAAAAAATAAGGTGAATTAATGGAGGAGGGGTGTATAAATATGTGATAAAGCAAGAAGAGTCAACTATTAATAGCAGAATCTACAACTAGATCGTGGGCATATAGGTGTTCACTGTAAAATTCTTTTAATGTGGTGCATATTTGAAAATACTGATAACAAAGCACTGGGAGGAAATCTATGTGCTCTTGCGACCCATGAACCGTCTTCAAGTGCTTGGTAGATCTGAATGCTCTATTTTTAAATGCTCATACTAGCAGATAGATAATAGTAGAAGATGGAGGCTGGAATTGCAAAAATTTCATATCTGAATTATTTTTCTTTTCAAATCTAGCCTTTCATACTTTTTTATTTTAGTAGGCAAAAGAAGCCAGGAAACGGTTATTATGAGAGGAAAAGAGAGGGGAGAGATCTGTGACCCTAAAAACAACAACAACAACAAAATTCCTACTGTAAAATATTGAATATCAAGAGCAGGCACACACTGCAGACTTATAGAATGAAAAAATTAATGAAAACACCAAGACTGCATCCTCAGAACCACGGAGGAATGATAATTACAGACAGTATTTCTGGAGCAGACACATAACCTTGATTCCCAGGATACCCCCTAAAGCACTCTAATAGTATGCTATTTGTGGAAGGTTTTTCCACCTTTAATAACAGAGAAATAATGTTAGAAGGAAAGAAATCCCTTATTTAGCCACTGGAGTGTCATTATTGAGCCCCAGCTGAAGGCCCCCTTAAAAGCATCCATATGGTAAAAGAACATGTTTCCCTACGAAATCAAAACTGAGTACATCTGAGACTTTTGAACATCTTTTTCCTTGGATCTTAAAATGGATTTGTGCATATTTGTGAAAAAAAATTTTATGATGTGCTATCTTCCAAAGTGAATGGTTATTTATAATTCATAAAAGACCTGAGCACAGGAAAAATTTTCCCTTTTATTAGCCCTGTAAAGTTAGACCAGCTGATCTTTTAGTGCATATTACAGACATCAAATTCTCTGTGTGGTTGAAGTTTCTCTTTTCAAACTTAATGCAAGAGGCAGTGCTACTGAATCTGCTGTTCAAAAGCTGGTGGGGTCCACATCTCTTTTGATTAAATGTTAAATAAACAAAACATCACTCTCAGAGATGGTCTCTGAAGGCACAGAAGGGAAAATACTTGGAATGCTAAACATACTTTTTAAATCTTGAACAACCTTTTGTAAAATACAGCAACATATTTTCAAATGGATTTTCTTTTCTGTCTGCAGCGTTTAACCAGTCTTCGTACACAGTTGCCACATCATTTCCTTTCAGCTGCTGCAGGCTACTTGTGAGTCAGAGTACTGATATCATGAGCAGGAATGACCTGGGTGGAGGAATAGGGGCACTGGGGATTTGGATGCATGACAGAAGCCCCAATGCCAAGGGCTTCCATCCAGCTGCACCTGCGCATCCCCTGCCAGTCATCCCTCACCAGCAGTACCCCGCCAGTCATGATATCACAGAAAGTTATTTCCTTCAAGGAATCCAAGTTTCTTAGCTCACCCTGCCAGGGTCACATCCACCCTGTTTACTGGTGTGTCACATACCCACATAAGAGAGTTGCACAGAAGTTTTAGAAATCTAAGTTAAATCTAAAAATAGCATGTTTTTGCTTCCTTTGAAGTACCTTGCCTTTGAATATTCCAGCTGAGCCTTGTAAGCTCCCTCATAAAACTATATGAAGATAGATATTTTCTCTGTATCCTGACTTTTTTTTTTTTTTTTTTTTTTTTTTTTTTTTTTTTTAAGATGGAGTTTCTCCCTGTTGCCCAGACTGAAACGCAGTGGCATGATCTCGGCTCGCTGAAATCTCCACCTCCTGGATTTAGGTGATCCTCCTGCCTCAGCTCCCCCAGTAGCTGGGAGTACAGGCGTGCACCACCACGCCCTGCTAATTTTTGTATTTTTAGTAGAGTCAGGTTTTGCCATGTTGACCAGGCTGGTCTTGAACTGCTGACCTCCAGTAATCCATCCGCCTCGGCCTCCCAAAGTCCTGGGATTATAGACGTGAGCCACCATGCCCAGCCAAATATGGATTCTTAACTGCCGAAAAGCCAACTCACTTATGAAACAGGATCCTTGGCCAGAAAGAATTGCCTCATTCTCTATTCTATAACCTACTCCTGCCCTGGCTACTGACAATAATCAGTGGCCTTCTTTTCCCTTTTTTTTTTTTTTTTTTTTTTTGAGATGGAGTCTCACTTTGTCGCCCAGGCTGGAGTGCAGTGGCACGATCTCGGCACTGCAACCTCCCAGGTTCAAACAATTGTCCTGCCTCAGCCTCCCAAGTAGCTGGGACTACAGGCATGTGCCACCATGCCCAGCTAATTTTTTTTTTCTTTTTTCTTTTTTTTTTTTTTTTTTTTTTAGAGGTGGGGTTTCACCATGTTGGCCAATCTGGTCTCCAACTCCTGACCTGAAGTGATCTGCCCACCTCGGCCTCCCAAAGTGCTGGGATTACAGTCATAAGCCATCGTGTCTGGCCATAAATGACTTTCAATCAGTTCTAAAGTCCCTGCTGCCCTGAGTGGTTCTTTCATCTTATAGACTGTTGGGATGGCTGCTGAAAGAGAATCATAAAACTGAAACCAATTCTGAAGTTCCTTGCTTCTGAGAGATGAGAAGTGTCTCGATACTGGGTGGCAAAGGAAGAAAGAGTGAAGACGCCATTAGGGAGGCTACTGTTTGATGGACAAACCCCACCGAGGGCTCTCCTTAGGAAGGAAAGGCTGACTTTTGGATGGTTCTGTCCTCTCCTTTTCTACTTACTAGCTGTTAGGCTTTCAGCTGCAAGAAAATAGTGTAAATGCAAGGACAAGGGATGGAATATTCAAGTGCATTTTGAACGAGTTTTTTTTTTTTACCATCTTGTGCTGCCTGACGCAGAAGATAAGAATGAGGAGATCTCAACTTCTTGACAAGGTGCCAGTGGCACTTGTAGTACCCACAGTGGGAATGGAAAAGGCAATATTTATTCTGAGGGCCCTGACAACATCATCGTTAAGTCATTCGTCCACTCCCAAGTAGCTTGCATTTTACAAGATCTGGTGAGAAAGAGGCTTCATGAGCTGTACTGGGCATTTTTTTCCCCTTTCC